TTTTTTTTCTAATCTGAAGTGTTTGTGTATTGGTTAAAACTAAAAAATGAAACCCTGTTTCTAAGTTGCAGAAAAAAGATTATTAAAAATACTCAGATGTTTCAATCAGAAAATGCTGATGTTTAACCACAATCAACTGATAATAAACATCCAGTAAAAAGGAAATTTGAGCAGCTTTTTACAGTACCTGCTTTGTCTATTGTAGAGACAATCCAATTAACAAAAAATCCTGGATCATAGTTGATTAGCAGAATCAAATTGTTCTAAGAATCACTGCAATAAACCTGTCTTAATTAACAGCTGTACTTATCGGTAAGGTGTGCACTGTGCCTGATTGATGGGAGTGGTCCTTACAGGTTATGATGTTAGTAGAGAAGGTGTTAGTGAGATGAAAAACTAAAAAAAAGAATCATCTGAAGATTAGGAGGCATAAGTGTATTAATTGTGGAATAAATTAGTTTGATTATTTAACATCACACTTTAAAGGCACATGAACAAGACAGACCTCAGAGGAAAATAAACCTACTGTACAAACGGAATTTACACCTCTGGTACTTTATTAATTACAACAATAAATTCCATCTGTTTCCACAGTGGTACATAATTTCTTTATCACAATTTAGCTTTTCTCTAGAATGTTATGGCACTAATAAGATTTTCCTTAAATTGTTAGTACATACACAATATACAAACATATTTTTGGTCTCTTATTGAGCCACTGAATTAACTTGCTTGCCAAGCTGTGTAACACTAGTCTTCTTTTCCATGTGTTCAACAGCTGTAATGTTATTCCCAAAAGAGAAAACTGAAAGTGTTAATTGATCAGAGATTTTACTTAGTCCTTAGCGATTTACAGTACTTGGATAACACCTTAGTAGTCCCCTGTTTCCACTGTCCCTCAGCACTAATGAAAAAAAAACAGCATTGTGAACAGACGCTGTGTCTTAATGATTACTGCTATGGAGTGTCATGCAGGATGTCGTCTCCTGTTAATGTGAACCACGTTTGTAACCACCTCTGAACAAAACAACATCCCCCTTTCTCAGTCGCGTGCCAATTAGCAGCTTGTTACTGAATCACCTGAACTTGCATACAGTGAAGGCAATAATAATGGGATAAAAAAGAAACAGCACAGGTGTAGCAAGCACTGTGGAAGAAAGAGTCATTATGGATCAGTTTAATGAAACTCAGGAGGATACATAGAAACTGCTGAATTTCTATAACCCCTCCCCCCACTTCAAAAGTGCCTGTCTTTTTCTTTTTTGTCTTCAATGTAATGAAAACAAAAAACAAAGCTAACTGTTTTATATATTTTTCAGAATATAATCACTTGACAACCCTTGCAGTCAAGGATAATAACCTTCAGTGTAGAGGCCAATCCAGGATAGACAGGCTCTGTTGCAGTATCTGGTTCACAACATTTTCTTCCTCCTTTGCAGTCTTCTGTTATCGTCATATGATTTTGCAGAGATCCTGTAACACTCTTTCTCCTTTGTACACAATCCAGGACAAATGTCTCCCAGACATTAATGTCATAATTTAGCCCAGAGAACAATGTTTACTTTGGTAGTCTGTAGCTGGATGTCTGGACAACATGGCCAGCTCAGCAAAGTTGATGTTTACATTCCTTGTCTCAAAGCTTGCTGTGTTTAATTACAAGATTACAGTAGATTCATCTGCCCTTTGACTATATTTGAAATATTTTCTGAAGGTAACTTTGATATACTTCTCATATGCTTTTCAAGAGCCTTGAAGTATCTTCTGTACATTGTTCATGGCATACTGTAGCTCTATTGGGCAGCCAGACAAAAGCAGTACTTGCACAGTTGAGGGTACACTGGATCTTATCATCAAGATGATGAAGACTGTTTGTGAGGGATGATGTCTGAAGTACAGTCCGGGAATTGCTCAGCATTATCCAGAGTCTCCTTGTGAAACTGAATTGTTTTGATTAGGAGTTTACTGAATGAGGATTGGAGGATGGCGCTTCTTTGTTAGGTGGTTTTTCCATGAATTCTCAGACTATAGATGGTTTTGGTGGCACTGGAATACTGGATCTCTTCCACCCTCTGTTCTTCATGTCACAGTTGCTCCTTTGAACCTCTGCTTTGACTCACTGGTGTTTCTTTAGTTTGGAAATGCTGTCATTCTGTCAGGAAAAAAAAAGGCTTTGCACATGTAGTTAATCAACTAACTAACATGTAGTTAATCAACTAACCTTGTCATCCACATCAAACCAGGCCTGATGTTTGCTGAACAAACATGATGTTTGTTAGGCTTTCCCAC